ATTATTCACCCCTTTGCGTCTTTGCCCACCAAAATTTGTGTTTGTATTATCAGCTGTTAGTGCAACAACTTTGGATTTCAAATTGTTTTCATTTATTATTCTGTATAGATGGTTTGAGAAAATTTCAGCAGTTTTGCCCTCAATAGATTCTAAATTTAAAATTTTTACTTGAATGCCCTTGGTAACATTAAAATATCTTAAAATGTATTGGATACATTTTAGTTTCGTTATGATTGGATGCATTAAATAAAACCGTTACAAATGCTGCAGTTTTCAAGTCTTCTGTAAGTATTTTGTCACAGTAATTTTTAAATACTGATTTAATAATAGCCTTACATTTTGTCTTGAAAATTTAGCATCGTGAAACTTTTTCAATAATTTAGTTGTACAATCCATACTACGAAAACTTTGATTGTGAATTATGGTATGGTATGGAATGCAAATGTTTCCTCTGTTGCAGCTAACTGTTTTTCATCTTCAGAATACTTTGAAGTTTTAAAAAAACTTGTTACTTTACAACTGGAAGCAGATGCATCTGATGATTGCTTGTTTCTTGGTAGTCAAGTGTTTCGTAATAGCTGCTCTGCCCCCAACTGCAATACAAAATTCTCTGCTGCAAATATTGCAGAAAACAATGTTATCCTTCTTTGATGTGATGAATGGAAATTCCTTATTCAATTTATCGTTGAAATGGCATTTCCTCTTTTTTGATTTTTCCATCCCTAAATGGAAGTTAGTCTCCTCCAGGTATCTTTGGGACTAACTAGGAGATGGTGTAGTTGGGTAGCAGGGAGGGGGTGCAAAGTTCCTGCCAATTCACCTTCGCTGCAGACAACTTGCATGTGCAAAGTTTGCCGGCCGGGTGTTTTGGCGCGCTCAGCAGCAATTCCTATTGGCTTTCGAAAGCCAATAGGGGGAGTAGCACAGCTCATGCAAAAGTTGAAAAAAAACCATCAAAAAAGGTGCCGGAATGCCATTCTGAGCGTTCTATGAGGGGGGAAAAAAGCCCTGCAGATTAGTCTTCAAATATCGAAAAGGAGGACATGTAGGAGGACACTTTTTGAGGGAAGACAGAACTTTAAAAAGGAGGACTGTCCTCCCTAAAGGAGGACGGTTGGTCACCTTAATAAAGAGGTGTCAGTCCCATTTCTCAAGAGCCCAAAGACAGACCAGCATTTGCATACAGTTCAAAATATTCATCAGCTTTGTTTTAGCAATCTAGAACCTAGCAGCCTTTACTATAAGGATAGGTATAAATATTTTTGATAAAGGGAAAAAAGCTTAAAAGAGACCATGTTACCCAAAACAAAAACTTTCATGGACTTAAGCCACATTTGCATGATCCAGCTTCTCTAAAAATACTCGACTGCTGAAAATTGTTTTGGATTTCAGGCTAAGTTTAATTAGTTGATGTTGACAATCAGCAGTGGTGGGATTCAAATACGTGAACAACCAGTTCTCTGTGTGGATACTGCTTCTGGAAGTCCATTCTGGGCCTGGGCAACAAAAAATTAGCTATTGGTTCTGCCGAAGTGGTGCAAACCAGCTGAATCCCACCACTGCCAATCAGAATGTTAAGATATTTAATTTAGTAGCTGGAACATTAAAGTGTACAATGGGCCAGAACACACAATTGTAGTTGATTGCTTGCTATGGGTATAAAGGGGGAGTTTTCCACCTTTTTCCTTCTGTATGCTCTGTATGCCGTTAGATTTACCTCATGATGTTCCTGTGTTCCTGACTATCTTGTCTGCTGTAAATATAAATGTAAAATAGATTTATTTATATAAAACTATAAGTTTGTGTCAGTGTCTCTGACTTCTTGTGGACACTTGCTGCACAATTCGCTGACACAGAATTATCCTGGTTCTTGTTCGAACATGCAAATTATGTGTTTGGTTTTGAAAGTGTTTGGCTTATAATATCAGGAACTACCGCTATTAGATGAGGGCATAGCCATGCTTTTCCAACTAAATTGTAGATATAGGTTTGGCAGGGTTATTTGCAGGAGTTTTTTTCAAAAGTCAAAATGGTTAAGCGTATCACACAACAGAATTTTCCAACAAGAAAGAAAAAGGTTAAAATATGGCAAATGTCACATGTGTTGCTTCAAGTCAATTTTTGACTCCTGGGATCTACCTAGACGAGTCCCAACAGTTTTCTTGGCAAGCTTTTTTTGGAATGGTTTGCCATTTCCTCCATCCTAGGGCTAAAAGAGAGTGACTGGCCAACACTCAGTTAGCTTTGTACCTAAGTGGTCTCCCAACGGAAGCCTTAACCATCTACCAAATTGGCTCTCCATATCATAACAACTTTGAATTCAATGCCAATCCCTTTATAACAAAATCTTCACCCTAAGTCAGGGGTCTTCAAACCTGGCCCTTTTATGACTGAGCTAGCTGAGAATTCTGGGAGTTGAAATCCAGAAGTCACAAAAGGGCCAAGTTTGAAGACCCCTGCCCTAAGTTGTATACTATGTTCTAAAAATCAACAAGTAAAAAGATCTGCTGTGAATTCTTGAGAAAAAGTATTTTTGGATTGTATCAGTAGAAAATTATCTTCCTGTAATGTTTGAGGGTGATGTGCCACTCTCTGTTCACCAGGACACGTCTGGCAAGGCAGTGCTATATTAAATCCATAATCCCCCAAATGGTAGGACATAACCCAAACATATGTCCTGACTTGTCTTCCCCTCTTGACATTGTTTTGATCTGGCCAAATTGGTCCAGAAGAGATGAGGTGCCTATCATATTAAATGATGTAGCTTTATTACATTTCTTGCACAGGATAAACAAAATCACCCTCTAAGCCAGGGGTAGTTGGCTCTTGCTCTAAGCCTTTTAAGTAAATAGTTCGGTATCAAATGTACATTCATAAAGAATAAGTGTTAAACATTCCATGGTGTTTATAGGGCCATTGATTAGTAGGGCAATCAGAATCTTCCTCTTTAAGGTCGGGACGTTTAAACGTGCAAATTCAGAAGATGCCACGGAATGAGATTGAAAAATGGCTGCTCGATGTTGAATCACATCCTGAGAGGTCCTGAATAGGAAAGAAAAATAATAAAGGCTGTAATGAGAGGTATAACTTTGCTTGAAAAGTAGGTATTGTATTTCTGCCTCAGAAACAGAGCAAGACAAACAGATTGTCAGATGAATTTTCAAGGGATATATAAGCACCCACACCTTCCCCTAAAGATGTGCATCCTTTGGAGCACACAAGAAAGAAACTTAGAAGCTTTTACTTGTGTATAACCAATATGCCATGGATTTATGTTGGTGTTTCCCCCCCCCCCCAAGCTGCGCCACATATGCAATTTGTCACAATTCACTAACCATTTGGGGGCTAGAGTCAGTCAGCACCTACTGGTCATGTTAGTTTGGTGTTGACATACCTTTTCCTGCTACTGTCTGCTTTGACCAGTGAGATGGTCCAGGCCTTTCAGATCAAGGTCTCCCTTTTGTAACAATAGCAGTAGCACTTATATACTGCTTCATAGTGCTTTACAGTACTGTCCAAGTGGTTTACAAAGTCAGCATATTGCCCCTCAGTATCTGGCTTCTCGTTTTATCAACCTTGGAAGGAGGGAAGGCTGAGTCAACCTTGAGCTGGTGAGTATCAAACTCTTGGCACTGAGCTGAATTAGCCTGTAATACTGCATTGTAACTACTGCACTACTAAGACTCCTATGTACCAGCCAGTCTCTGAGTTGCTCCCCAGCTTAGAGACCAAATCTGCCTAAAGTGCCAAAGGCAGCAGGGACAAGAACAGTGCACTGAAACAGGAGAAAGAATGCCAGTTCTTTATGTACTATTTCCCAGTGCAACCCACACCATGCTTGCTGGCTGTTGCTTGGGCTGATTATGCACATCTTTAGGGGAAGGTGTGGGTGCTTATATATCCCTTGAAAATTCATCTGACAATCTGTTTGTCTTGCTCTGTTTCTGAGGCAGCTTAACATTCTTGGAGGCTAGTACTTAATCAGCTTTTTAAAACTTTTCAATATGGACCCATACCTAAGTGCATAGTAGACCTATCCTCAATTCCATGTTAGGGAGAGTGATTGGTGGATGTTTTCCCAATGGCTTTGATATTCAGTAGGAGGGAAGAAAGAGAAGGCTAAGGGAATCCACAAATCACAGCCATACATGTTGTAAAGAAGGACAGTATCTATGGTCAATATTGTTCCAGTGGCAGGTTTGGGATCTCTGATGAGAACAGTATATATTATGCCAATATAATTTTCTGCCAGATGAAGGACTAGTATTTTAACTGGGCTATGTGGATGAACACGTTGTGAGCAGCCCAAGGACATGTAATTTAGGGTTATAAAGCCTTAAAATCCTAAATTCCTTCAAACTCCTCTGGTTGTCTTCCAGATGTTTCAGCATCCAAATGCCAGGATTCCAATCAATATGGTGGTTGTGCTAAAGCAGGGGTCTTCAAACCTGGCCCTTTTATGACTTGTGGACTTCAACTCCCAGAATTCCTCAGCCAGGCACACTGGCTGAGGAATTCTGGGAGTTGAAGTCCACAAGTCATAAAAGGGCCAAGTTTGAAGACCCCTGCGCTAAAGAGAAGTGCTGGGTGGGAAAAAGCTAACTGAAACAATCTGAGCTTTGAAAATACTCTTAGAAAGTAATGTGATAGTAAGGTTAGGTGTCATATATAATTTGAGCAAACTGGAAGGTGGAGGAGGAGGAGAGAAACCCTATTACTGTTCAGTATTAACTACTTTTCAAATAAACCCACCTGATTTGACATGACTCTGCATTAACCTATACCAAACTCAATTTGTATTTTCTCATGAATGAGTTCTGCAAGAATGCTGAAGCATTGCAGGAAAATATTCCGGGATTGGGGGGGGGGGACGAGAGAGAGAAAATGTTCAAATCCCCCACCACTACAGCAGTGAAATCCCTTTGCTCGATATTACCCTGTCCAATGAAGAGAAATGTTCCACAGGCACATGGTTTGTACGTCTCAAAATAACTTGGGACCTGCAAAGTGACAAATGCTTTTGCTTCAGTCGTGACAGGTTGTCCAGCGTCTTACGGCTATCTTCCCTCAAAACATAAAGTTAACGTTTATTTTTTGACCGATGAACTCCAAGTTATTTCTGTGCCAAAGAACCTGAAGAAGCACCATCACTTTGGTTACTTTAATCTCTTATTTAGGAATCATTGTCACTGTGCCAGAGTGCCAGAGTTGGATTTCAACATCTGGAGGAATTAGAAAAGGTAACCTATTTAATTTTCAAAAGTGGACGGTGTTTTGATGAAATGGCGCATGTGCCCAGAGGGTTGGTGGGATCCATAATATGTCAGATTGCTAATAATTGTAGATATATTACCCAGAGTCAAACCAGATTAAAATAGAAACAGAAGAATCTTCAGAATATGAAAAACGTGTTTCTTCGTATGTGTTGAAAGAAGTTGTTCCAAATTCTCCCCCTTCAAATTCCCATGTATGCACGTTTAGTTATTTTGAGCAGAATGCTGATTTGTTGAAATGGCACAGATGTTAAATCTATTTCTCTGTCCATGATTTTTAACATAGTTGAAATTATTGTTTCCTTATCCCTAATTATGAACCCTCACAGACCATTTATCTTAATTCCACTAAATTCCAATTAATATGACTTCTTGTTTAAAATCTAATGTGTGCGAGTTTACATGAGAGTGAAATAGGGAGAGAGAGAGAGAGAGAGAGAGAGAGAGAGAGAGAGAGAGAGAATGTGTCATGTAAAATGATACGGCTGGCTATATTTAGTGTTTGGAGATCTGCTCTTTGGATTAATGTACACAACAGCTGCAGGAATAGTCTTGCTTGAAGAACATTGCTCTCTCAACCCTCACCCTCTCTCTTTCTCTCTCCGGAAAAAAAAATGTTTTTGACTGTCAGTGGCAAATGTTTGGCATGCAATTTTAAACAGGGAGCAGAACAGCATCATGAATTGAGAGAAGATCATTTAGGAACTTTATTAGATTAGGTTTCCAGATCTCTTACTGGACACTTAACATAAAAATTCTTTTATGTTAACCTCTTGTTTTTACATAAAAATCAGTGAAAAAATTAAAATCCTAGATTTGTAATGCTGAGGAAACAAACAGTGTAGACTATGTAAAACCCTTATGCAAATTGAAGTAAAACTAGAGTATAGACCAAGAATGTCCAACTTTAAAACCTGTAGACTTCAACTTTCAGAGTTCCCAGCCAGTTATGGTGTAGACTATGAATATAACTCTCAACAAAAATGTTCTTATCTGAAAAGTTCTAAACTGTGATTGCTAAATTGTTGAAGATGTATTTCTGAAACCATATTCTGACATGTCTTCATGCAAGAAGCACTGTACTTCAAAGTGGTTAATGGTTCAATACTTCAGTAATCCAAGAATTAGTAGAAACAGAAGTTACCTTTTGCTTCAGTTTGGAGAACAACTGAAATTCTAGAAATTGTCTATTCCCAAATAATTATACTAAATCAGTAACACTTCTTTTAAAATTATTGTAAAGAACCTCGAAAATTTTTCTATGCTCAGAATATATTCAAAACTTCAGCTGGGCTATCAAGGAAAGTCCAATATTTATTTCAATTACTCTAGCATTTTTGATATCTTCTCATTTCTAGCCAAGTCTTCTTTTTGATTTAAGAATGTCTTTATCAATACATAGACAGGAAGGCCACCAGACGTCCACTATATTAAATGTTGCTTGATATTGCTAGATTCTCTTTTCCACTACATAGACATTGGTGTAAATTGTGCCATTACATCTGTTCCACCATTAATCCTACCTGATACGTGCTCCTGCCGGTACGTGCATGGTTACAACAGAACAGCATGTAGCAGACAATTTAATAATGCAAAATATGAGACAGAAACTGCCCAGCACTGGATGTAGTAGATCCAACTGTGCAGAATTTCCTGAAGCTTCTAAGAAATGCAGCTGCAATGGAATGCCCCATGGCCTACATCTAGGGTCAGTGAGAAACTGATTTCAAATCCAGGAGTTGCAGGTTTTTTACAATTGGTGGCGTTATTTGATCTGGATAATTTGGCTTTAGTTCCGTACCTGATTTCCAGGACAGATCTTTATAGGAGTAGCCATACGATATGGTTAGAAATGGTCGATGGAAGCACTGCACACTTTAAAAACAGGCAGAATTTTAATTGCACCATTGCAGCCTCCATCTTGAGTTTATTTTTACTAAATCCGGTAGACATTCTTGTATATTTTGCAGCTCATTAACTCATTTTCTTTAATTTCTTGCAAATTAAAACATTTGCCTATCTATCACTACAAAGCCACTTTTTCCATACGTGATTTTAATATATGTCAGTGTCTTCTTATTCTAATGGCAAGCCTAGATCCCCAATTTACTTGTTTTAAATGACAAGGTCAGCTTTACATATATTTCAATATACAGATCCATATCATATCGTAGTCATTGATAGTAGGAATAATCAGTGCCCAATCTCCAAATAGAAACCAATGAAGTCTGAAACTTAGCACTTTTACGTGCATGCCAGCTGGAGAAAAGAGTAACACTCACCATGTGCAGAATGCTATTCTGTTGCATTCCTACGGTTAGCCATTATGGCTTTGGAGAATTGGACGTAGAACTTCATTCTTTCTCTCTTATTCTGCCTTCCAAAATGTAGGGCACATCCTCCCATCCTTTCCCCCATGTTGTCCTCATCTCTTTCCTATGCCAGAGTAAAGCATCTTAAAAACACCTTTAGTTGTTTCAGTTGTGATATTTTCTATCTCCTGATACAATTTCTGTCATAGCATCCTTTACTAATGGTGTAGTTGCTGAATTGGTCAGAGATGGAATCCATCTGGCTTTGCTTTAGGATAAACCAGTGGTTCTCAACCTTTTTAATGCCGCGACCCCCAACCGGTTGTAAGTCGAGGACTACCCAACCGGTCGTAAGTTGAGGACTACCCAACTGGTCGTAGGTCGAGGACTTTCCCTGCTCGGGAGCGCCGCACATACGTGGTGCCGCCCCCTGCGCTGGCCGAGGCGTAGCTGGCAAGTGGCAGAGACAGCGCAGGCCAACCACCGGCTGGGCCACCAGCTGGCCCAGCCCAAGGGAGGTAAGGCACCTGCCGGGCCCCACGCACTCCAGCAATCCTCCCTGCGCCCGCCGGCCTCCCACCTCCCACCCCTGGCCCTCTTTTACTTACATTTTTAGTAGTTGCTCAGCAGGGAAGGGTGGAAGCTTCCAGACAGCTCGCCTTCGCTGCAGACAACTTGCAGCACCGTTTGCAGAATGGGACTTTTGGCGGGCTCAGCAGGGCAGAGACAGCCTGGACAATTCCTATTGGCTTTTGAAAGCCAATAGAATTAGACTCTATTCAAGAGAGTCTATTCTATTGGCTTTCAAAAGCCAATAGAATAAAAGGGAGTAACACAGCTAAGGAAAAGGGAGAAAAAATGGTGGACTGCGTTGTTTGGCGACCCCCATGAAATGGTCGTTCGACCCCAAATGGGGTCCCGACCCACAGGTTGAGAACCGCTGGGATAAACACTTGCTCAATAAGCATTTTGGCTTCAGCTGAAGACACTTGCATTCATTTGTCCACATAATGCAAGATCAGTCTAATCCAGACTGTTTCTCAAGCTTTAAACAGGTTCTGGGTGCTTCTTCGAAGAAGCGCTGGACTTTTGTTTTAAAAACATGACCAATCTTCTCTTGAGAATGTGCTAGTCCCAGGCTATGCAGAAGGTCAACTTAAAGTGGGAGAGGCAGCTTCTGTCAGTTATGTCAGCCAATGAGTATATTAGTTGCTTTCTCCTGCTCACAAGGAGTTTTATGTAGCTACAGTTTTATTCCTTTGTTGGGGCAAGCAGCATTTTGCCCGTTCCAAGAATTACTTCCAGATGCCATCAACGGCAGCCATTCACTGCCAGCTTCCTTGTAGCACCAGCTGAGGATGGACTTGCTCATTGTCAGTCATTCTCTCCCTTTTTGCCCCGTTCCTCTTCTGCTCCTCTCATTCCAGTGGGCACATCACAGGCTTAAAGGAAGGTGCAGAGTGCAATAGAAGGGAGCCCTATGCCACACTTCCTCCTGCTTTTCTCTTCATCCTTCTGTGCTCCTGAACTTTCAGCTCACCTTTTTGTCAACCCCAAGTTTTCCAGGATTTAGAAAGAGCACAACTAACCAACTGCAGGCAGGAAGCACGCCTGTGACCTATTAGTTGGACAAGTTGACAGGTGTCTAAACCCATCATTCTAAGGACCCCCCTGCACTCACCCATCCCTGCCCCACCCCACATTAGAATGATGAGTGTTTCCTAGACAGCAAGTGAGGATGGTAGGAGATAAAATGAAACTTAAGACTCCATTGACTTCCTTTAACATGCTTCACCTTAAAACTGAAAGGATGGCACCACTTACCAGCCTCACTGTTGGGGCAGAATAGATCTTGGCCACCAGGATAGAAAATGTTATGCTAACATTTATTTTATTTATTAAATTTACATGCTGCTCATATCACTATTGAGAGAGATTCTGGTCAACAAACTTTTCTGCTGGACCAGAACTGGCAAATTGTGCTTCAACATGTCTGTCTGTCTGTGCTTATTTACCTTTGATCCTGTCCCATTTGAGAACTTTCCTATTGTCTTAACTATAGCTCACAGCAGGATATACATTAACTGTGAATTATCATATAATGAATCATTGAGGGACATTGGTATTTCATACTTAAATTATTTGCAGCTATTTTTAAAGAGAGGAACATAATGTCCATTTTGCAGGCTGAAAAATACATGTGCCTTCTTATCTTTTTATTGTTGCTGTCGCAGTATCTTATTGTAACACCAGTACGTTTTGTAACTTTCTTTTTAGAGACAGACACATTTCCAAATCTGTACAGCAGTGGTGGCGAACCTATGGCACACGTGCCGGAGGCGGCAGTCAGAGCCCTCTCTGTGGGCACATGCGCTGCTGCTGCCAGCAGCTTGCGCAGGTCCAGTAGGCCGCCACCGCCTGGAGCGGCAGCCCCACCCAGCACAAAGGAGGCGAAGCGGCCAGCTAGCAAGCTCGAGTAGAGGTGGTAGAGTACGCCCATGCCCAGCAAGCCAAAGGCCACCCCGAGGAGGGAAAGCAGGATCCCCATCAGCACCATGGCCCCCCAGTTCCAGCTAGAACTGCGTGCCTCACCCCACCTATGCTGGGCCTCCTGCCCCCCATCCCCCCGCAAGAGACCTCCTGGATCTCCCTCAA